CCTGTGATCATTCTCTGTAATGCGGTCAGTGTGCCTTCCTTGGACACCTCTGGCCTTTCCATTAATCATCAATTAAATAGAATTAATGATGCTCTAGTAGGGAATGTGGGAGTTACAGGAAGAACCAGTGGTCACCGAACTAGGTGACCAGGTGCTCCTGAGCAGTTTTCTCTCAGAGTTCTTCTGCAAATGGAAAAGCTGCTCATTAAGAGGATACGGCCTCCCTGCCAGAGAGGGCACCAGGGCAGGTTCTGTGCTCCCACACTGAGTGCCACATGCCTCTTCCAGCGACAAAGGCTCATGGGGCTTGAAATGTGGGCATCTGTGGGCTGCCAAGAGGAGGCAGAAGGTGGATGAGATGGGCCTGCCTCCCGGGAGAGAGTGTGCTCTTGTTGGATTGCTGAGAATGACGCCCAGCGTCACAGTCCCTGTCCCCGTGGAATGTGCTGAGAACATTACTGCCTTTCTGAGTCTGCATCTGGGTGAGAATGTTCTATAACTAAAGCATAGCTTACACTGTGAACTTTTCATAGTTACCATTCTGGATGGAAACCTTAAAAAAATAGATGATGTCTTTCCTGGCTTTCTTAAAAAGAGGAAACTGAACAGGATTTAAACTCTGGAGGGTGACCCACCATTCACTTCTGGGGGGCTGTGATTTGGTGGTGCCCTTGGGTCTGTTCAGGTGGACAAAAAATAGCTCTTTGCTCCTGCACCAAATGTCCCTGAATTTCCAGGCTTTTGGAATCCATCAGTCTGTTTTTTATGTTTATTCTTTTATTTCTCCCTAATGTTTTCATTGTGAAACATATAAACATATTTTACTACAAAATAGGCAATTACCTCAAGCCACCTTCTTATATATTCCATCTGAACTGCTTCTAATACTCTTGGACTGGGAAATGAAATGATTAGCCTTGTAAGAGTTGTGTATGACGTAAGAGTCAGTAGGCTTAGAGTGAGGAAAGCTTGAGGAGCTAAGGGGTTGAACTCTGTGATATGTCTGACTGTTCAGAGGCCTTAAGTGTATTCTGGTAGGTCTTTGATTTGGTCTAACTCAGGTGAATTGGCCTCCAGAAAGAGGATGACAGAATACAAATCTGTGCATAAGGTCCTTATTGCCAAGGGTAATAAGTCAGAAGGAAATAATATCTGTACTGAGATAATTTTAGCTCAAAGACGGCCAAACACACACATATACCTACCCACTCGTGTGTGTGCACACACACACGCAACACATGAGCATAGTGATGAAAATGAAGCCACAAAACAGACACACTCAGCTTTTCACTTTTATATCTCAGGGTGGCGCCTGTGGCTCAAAGGAGTAGGGCGCTGGCCCCATATAGGAGAGGTTGTGGGTTCAAACCCGGCCCCAGCCAAAAACTGCAAAAAAAAAAAAAGAAGAAAATCACTTTTATATCTCCATATTCTAAAAAGTTGTCTAGGAACAAATAATTAGAATCATGACACTTTCAAAGGGGAAAGAATTTTCATGCTCCTTTAGTTGCACTCCCCATTTTATTTCAGGAATCTCTCTCACTACCTTCTGGACAGATGGACTCTTTCTCCCCTTCTTGTACAGAGTCAATTATGGGAGCTCAGAGCTTTTGGAAGTCTGATTTCATGAATGGAAAGCTCTGACAGGAAGTAACAAAACTACACTCTTGCCACATCGGATCTGAATTTTGTGTGCAGACATTAGGTTTCTTGTCTCAATGTGGATGTCCTCTGGGAGAAGAGCACACCTGTGTGAATGGGAGAGACAGGTATTTCCTGTATGGGGTGGACATGACTGATGTCAATCATTTTGGAAATAGCTGGGTCCTGAGATAGAAACTGAAAAGGCTAGTTTATCCTGGCTGGAGAGGGTGTTTATCTCAGCCTTATTTATAGGGGCTGAGCTTGAGACATCTTGGAGTTTTGAGAGTCTGCTTGGGTGGAAATAGAGCTGATGAACACTGTCCCAGGAAAGAAAGCAGGCAAGCACCTTGTATAGTAACGTAAGTGAACCAATCTTGGAAGCTATATGACCTGGATTGACATTAAACTTTGCAGTTCTTTCCCCTATCCTGAGCCCTTAAAAATGTCTAGTTTAAGTGTTCCAGCTTAGCCCAGCTGTGTAATATCATTAAAGGAATTGCTGAGGGTCAGTGTTTATTTTCCTGGAATGTTAGAGGGGGAACGGTGCTTCTCTGAAACACCGCAGGTTTCAGTGATTACAAGATACTCTTTTTTTTGTTTGTTTTTTTTTGTTTTTTGAGACGGAGCCTCAAGCTATCCCCCTGGGTAGAGTGCCATGGCATCACGCTCACAGCAACCTCCAACTCCTGAGGTCAAGCGAGTCTCCTGCCTCAGCCTCCCAAGTAGCTGGGACTACAGGTGCCCGCCACAACGCCTGGCCATTTTTTGGTTGCAGCCATCATTGTTGTTTGGCAGGCCCGGGCTGGGGATTCGAACCCGCCACCTTTAGGTGCATGTGGCTGGCGCCTTAGCCGCTTGAGCCACAGGCGCCGAGCCACAAGAAACTCTTAAAAGAAACGTGAACAGTGGGAAGAAGAATTGGGCCCAAGAGGTCCATCTACTCTTCTTTAGATAGTGATTTACTGATCACTGCTATCCTTTTATTAAGCAAGCTGCTAGTAAAAGTAATCCCTTAAATTGGCCTGAAATCTGTCTCCCTGCAACTTTCCCCCACAGGACTTAGTCCTTCTTCTCAAAAGCACAGAGAACAATCATCATAACTATTTACATTCATTGAGTGCTTACTATGTGCTGGGCACTTTACTGAGCATTGTGCTACTCATTTATATAATAATCCCAGTTTACAGATGAAGAAATTGAGGCTGAAGGAGGTAAAATAACTTTCCCCCAATAAGTGGCAAGATTTGAACTCCAGCAGTCTGATGTCAGAGCCCATAGTCTTGAACTCTGAAATACTGCTTGTCTTATCCCCATGACAGCTCCAGAGAGATCTGCTGCCTGTGATCTTCCCTCTGTGGGTCTTTTTTGGTCCATGTATAATCTGCACTCCATCTTCTGCCATTTCTCTTTGCACATGGAGTCAGGGGAAGACAACCCTGCCCAGTTCCTCCTGACCAGGTCTGGGACAATAGAAAAAATGCAAAGCCCAAGTCCCTCTGACCTCCAGTGACTTGTCCCACTTTGGCCCCCAGGACAGCCTCTGCAGAAGCCTTTGGAAGCATCATTTTAGCAGCCTTCCCCTTAGGAGGCTGTATTTTTCCTTTCTGTCCTCAACATTTCTTCTGCCAGAACAACAGGCTCACTTTTCCCTTCTGATAAATCCGGTCACCCTAAATATGGGGCTTTGAGCAAACAGGAGCGGCTGGCCCCACGCAGCCCTCATTTTGAAATGCAGATTCACACGGGCTGCTATTTTAGAGGTCTGGTTTCTTTCCCCACACATAGTGGTTTTAAGCAAGAGGGAAAGGATCATGACAGAATCTTGGCAAGGGAAAGATGCCAGGAGAGAAGGTGCACCTGGGCAGTCTTTGTTTCCCAAAGTTCCCAAACACTGGCTCTTCAAGAAGCTCTGGGAAAAAGCTTGGTCACATAATGTTGGGAAATGCATCTTAACTGCCCCCTTCCTGGAGATCAGCAGTGTGCATGTTAAACATGGAAAGTCCTAGCAGTAACCAAGTCTAATGGGTTTTGTTTAACCCAGTTTTTTCCATTTTAAAATGTAGCCTAGTAAAATTTTAGAAAACAATGGTACAGAGTGGAGGTTGCCAGCCAGCACCAATGGCCTGATATAGTCCTTAGATAGGTTGGATCTGAGAGTCCTTCTTGAAAAATCAGAAGTTCTAGAAACACTGATCCATATTCTGGCATGACTACTAGAACAAGGTCGGCAAGAACAAGGCTCTGGTCTTCCACTCACCAGAGTCCCTGAGCTTCCTTAGAGCCATACAGCTGCACCCTGTTTTACTCATTTATGATGCTCGCTGGCCAGGGAATCCCCCAAGCTTGCCCGCTCTGGTGTGGAGGTTTCCTCAGGTGGGAGTCAGCCTTGAGGCCCATTCATCCGTGCATTCATGCAGCACATATTAATTGAGCTCAGACTGTGTGTGGACCCTGTGGATACAAGAAGAACAAAACAGTCTTTGGCCTCTGGATTCTAGCAATGGCATTCTGAGATTCCAGCTGAGAACTGCAGAATGAGGAAGAGGGAGGGGTGGAGGAGAGGGGAGCTAACTGGTGCCAAAGTGATTGCCATTCTCCATTGCTGTCTCTGCTAGCTCACAGAAGAGACCTTCCACTGAGACCGCGTCTGTGATCCCAGGGAAGAAGCCACTAACTTGCTGTGTGAGTTAGATGAGTTCTTGCCTATCCCAGGGCCTCAGTTTCTCCATCTGTGGAATGACCTGGTTGGACTGAAAAATTATGGCCGTAGCTTCCAGGGATGGCACTCACAGATGCTGAGACTCTATGATCTAGGAATGTCTGACCTGGCCATTCCGGAGCTCTTCCATCGAATTCCAAGCAGCTTCCCTCCCTCCTTTCCCCAGTCCCGGCCAGAGGCGGGCGCTGGAGCCAGAGGGCCGAGAGGGCCTGGGCTTCCCGCCCGGGGGCGGAGCCGGTGCTCCACGTCCCGCCCCTCCACCTGGGGCTGGGCCCCGGCAGATGTTACAACTTTTTCGAATTCTCTCCCGCGGTGTCTCCCCAGACCCGCCCAACCCGTGCCTCCCTCCTCTTCCTCTCTGGGGTTCTGCCCACCTCCCCGTGGGGAACCCGACTGTTCAGAGGACTCCAGGCGGGGCGAGAGGCCGGGCTGGGGGCTGGAGGTGGTGGGGGGGAGGAGGAGAAAGGGAAAGCAGAGGCGAGAGAAATTAGGAGGCGGGAGAAATCCAGGGCTAGAAGAAGAGAATCAGAGGATGGTGGGGAGCACCTTTTGGAAGCCACCACGCCGCGTCTCTGGCTGGCCCGGCTGAGCTAGGTGAGAGGGAACTAGGGCAGGCGCTTAGGCAGCGGGAGGCCGCCAGCCCTGGACGAGATACTGTGCCGCCCCCGGGGGCGCTGATCACTCTCGCAGCATCCAGGCCGGCGGGCGGGCCGTGCGCCCTGGGCGCGCGAGGTGGTGAGGCCCCAGGAACCCAGCGCGCCGGGAAGCGCAGGCAGGATTGGCGATGCACGCCCTCACCGGCTTCTCTTTGGTCAGCCTGCTCAGCTTTGGCTACCTGTCCTGGGACTGGGCCAAGCCGAACCTCGTGGCCGACGGGCCTGGAGAGGTCGGCGAGCAGCCCTCAGCTGCTCCACCCCAGCCTCCGCACATCATCTTCATTCTCACCGACGACCAGGGTTACCACGACGTGGGCTACCATGGTTCAGATATTGAGACCCCTACGCTGGACCGGCTGGCGGCCGAGGGGGTCAAGTTGGAAAATTATTATATCCAGCCCATCTGCACACCTTCACGGAGCCAGCTCCTCACTGGCAGGTAGGCAAGGCCCCAGGTCCCGGGGGCTGGGCATCTGAGCCCCAAATAAACCCAGTGGTAGTTTTTCCCTGCCAGTGCAACCCTGGCTGGGACCTAGGAGACCAGGGCTCAGGGCTAATTTTGCCTTCAGTTGGCTGTGTGATCATTAGTCTCTTCCACTCTCTGGGCCTCAATTTCCCCACCCAATGGTGAATGGGTTCCATCATCTTTGAGGTCTTCTCACTGTGATGTTCTGGGACACTCACATTCCACACAATGTGGAGGAGACATCTGGCCATCCCTTTGTTTAGAAGAACATGGCTGTCTCTGACAGGAATTTTGAGTGCTACCTCTATTTACAGACCCTGAGCAATGGGCACCATTTGCTGAGAAGTCCTTTAACTTCTCTAAAGTTTTCTTGCTTCCATAAAATGGAGCAAAGAACAGTTCTTATTTTGAAAAAAAGAGTGGTAAAGGTGGACTGAGATGTGTGTAACCAACCTGCTTGGCTGTCAATAAATGGCAGCCTCTGTGTCACAGGAGGGATTCGAGTCCCCACACTGTTTGATGATTACATTGGCAAGAAACCAAGGAAATGATAGGTGGAGGAGAAAGACACACATAGGAGGTCGTGACCTGTGTAGGCTTAGGCTGGTTACTTCATTTTTCTGTGCCTCTGCTTTTTCACCTGCAAAATCCTCCCAAGTTGTCTGGGAGCCCCAAGGAGACGTGCTGCTTTCTCTGTAAGGAGTTGTCCACAGGCGAGGCCCCAGGATTACAGGATTAAAAGAGCAGGGAAACAGGAGGTGGGGGTGTGGAAGGCAAACTCTGGCCACTTAGGAGAAAATCCTTTTGGCAGGGCTGATGCTAATCCTCCTTGGATGGGGTCCAAGGCATACTTTCTTCCAAGTTCCACCCAATAGCTGCTGTGTGATCTCAGGAACCAGAGCCTTAGTCTCCCTGTTTCCTGGATGGGAGAAACCGAGGCATGGACTCAGCTCAATGCCTGTGCTCAACTTCAGGGTCTTGTAGGAAAGGGGGCTGAGAGGCCAGGTACTTGGCAGGGGTCCTGAAGCTGGGAGTCAAATGGTGGGTGCCCTTTCTTCATTTAGTCTGGCATGCAGTGATCTGGCACTCAACCTTTAGATCCAGGAACTAGAAGGAGAGCAGGAGAAAGAGGGAGGGAGTGGGGTATGTTTGTGTTGTAGGGTGGTGGGGGGTGGAGATAGTGAGGATGAAGACCAAAGTTGGACCTGCAGAAGAGGGAGGAGACATCTGCATTCCTGAGAGTTGTGCACAAGTTTGCATTTCTCTCCTGAGAGGTGGGTTTTAGTTTAAGGAGAGGAATGAGCAGACAGCAGGGCAGAGTTGTAGCTCTCTGATCTACAAAGTTAGAGTGTAGACTATAGATGGCCAGAGTGTGCCCTCTACCCCTGCAGCAGGCTTGTCTGACCTATGGTTACGGCTCTCATTAGTGTTGGTTAACACACCCCGTGGTGTTTGGTGAGACTGGAGAAAGCCAGAGTTTCTCATGTTTTCCCTGGCAGATGGGTTCCTGTGACTCTTTATCTGACCCACCCACTTTATAAACCAGGCTCCACTGTGCCCCACCCTAAGAAGAGAGGCTCAACTGGGACTCAGGGTCCTGGGGTGCTTCTCCTGTCAAGTCCCAACATTTATGAGCTTGACTGAGGCCTGGAAAGGCCACAACTCACTGTGTGTGAGTTGAGTAGATTGTGTTCAAAGATCTGCTGTCAGATCTTGGGTCAGTTGCTACCCTTTGGGGACCCTCAGTTTCATCATCTGTAGAATGGGGGTAATAGTAATATCCCCATAGGTCTTTTAAATGAGGATTAAATGAGATATAAAATTTGTGTGTGTGACACACAGTATTAAAAAGGGCCATAGTAGCTAATATAGCTAACAATAACAGTGACTTTGAAATAAGGAAACAAAAACAGAGCAAACCTATTCCAGTGTTCTCTGGTTAAAGGTGTCAAGTTTTCAAGTTTCAACTTGGATGCCTAGGGGGTGAGAAAAAGGTGTGGAATTCTAACACACTTGTGAAGTTCCAGGCTTCTTATTTACTCTGGGATTTTTAAGATTTGAGTAAGGGCAAGACACCATAAGCAGATCACATGGGAACCTTGACCACAGAAGCGGGAATATGGGATATGAATGAATAAGTGAGGAATTCAGGATTCTGTTGACTACTCCTGCCTTGGGGCAGGATCATGGGAACTGGTCTCCAAAAATTTGGTAACTGGACGAGTTTTAGAGATTTTCCATTTTAAAAGTCACTCCTACACATGAGCAAACTAAGGCCTCCATCTGGGGAGAAACAGCCTAGTTTGCTGAGAAAGAGTCCCTGCTTGGACTCCACTTGAATCTATGTTCAAGTCCTGGTTATGCTTCTGACTACTGAGTGACCTTGGGCAATGCCCTTCCCCTCCCCTTAAAAACACCTTAGTTTCTATTTAAGAAGAGGTAAATAAACTAGAAGATGAGTTGGGTCCTTTCTGGTTCTAAATCCCTCTGAATGTCATTCTTCATTCATTCATACCATGAGTAATTGAATGTCTTTTAAACATCACTTAGGTGCTAGGTACACAAGGTTGAGTTAAGGACAGTCCCATTACATGTCACTGGGCCCAAGAGCATGTACAACTGAGTATAAGCCCATGGCCAGGTAGGACAATGATGGTATGTACTAAATGCTGGGGGAACCCAGAAGCAAAAGTGATTAATTCTCTGGGAGAGTTGTAAGGGACTTTAACAGTAGGGTAACATTTAGGCCAGGCTTTGAAGAGTGAGTAGGAGTTTGTCTGGGAGAGTAGGACTTGCTCCAGGCCCCATAGCAAGTGAGTGGCTCTGAAGTATGGAGCCAAACTACTTGAGATATACATCCCACTCCAGCTGCAAGCTGTATGAATCATGTGGCAAGTAATTTAATTTGCCAAACCTTAGTTTCCTTATTTGGGAAATGGAAATAATATGTATCTTGTAGTTGGTGGTATTTAGTAAGGTAATCTATGTAAGGGGCTTAGCACAATGACAAGCACACAGTTGCGTGCTTAGTATTAGCTATCATTATTATTATTATTATTAACTTGGCTTCAATTCATAAACTCTCTAACTTCTTAGCTGTGTGATATTGGACAAGTGGCTTAACCATTCTGAGCTTTAAAATGACAGTAATATCTACTTCTGCTCATTTTGAGAAGTCAATGAGATAATGCATTTGAGGTGGTCAGCACATTAGATAATGTCTGGTAGTACTGGTACTATTATTGCTGGTAGTATTGGGGCCAGGGCCCATCTCAGAGTGATATTGTGGGTTAGGTGACCAAAGCAGTGGTCTGTAGCTCACCTGTGCCTTCTATGCACCCCCCCCCCACTAGGTACCAGATCCACACAGGACTCCAGCATTCCATCATCCGCCCACGGCAGCCCAACTGCTTGCCCCTGGACCAGGTGACACTGCCCCAGAAGCTGCAGGAGGCAGGTTACTCCACCCACATGGTGGGCAAGTGGCATCTGGGCTTCTACCGAAAGGAGTGTTTACCCACCCGCCGAGGCTTTGACACCTTCCTGGGCTCGCTTACAGGCAATGTGGACTACTACACCTATGACAACTGCGATGGCCCTGGTGTGTGTGGCTTTGACCTGCATGAGGGGGAGAGTGTGGCCTGGGGGCTCAGCGGCCAGTATTCCACTATGCTCTATGCCCAGCGTGCCAGCCACATACTGGCCAGCCATAGCCCCCAGCGGCCCCTCTTCCTCTATGTGGCCTTCCAGGCAGTACACACACCCCTTCAGTCCCCTCGGGAGTACCTGTACCGCTACCGCACCATGGGCAACGTGGCCCGGCGGAAGTACGCAGCCATGGTGACCTGCATGGATGAGGCTGTGCGCAATATCACCTGGGCCCTCAAGCGCTATGGTTTCTACAACAATAGTGTCATCATCTTCTCTAGTGATAATGGTGGCCAGACTTTCTCAGGGGGCAGTAATTGGCCTCTCCGAGGACGCAAAGGCACTTACTGGGAAGGTGGTGTGCGGGGCCTGGGCTTTGTCCACAGCCCCCTGCTCAAGCGAAAGCGACGGACAAGCCGAGCACTGGTGCACATCACTGACTGGTACCCAACCCTGGTGGGTCTGGCAGGTGGCACCGCCTCAGCAGCTGATGGGCTAGATGGCTACGATGTGTGGCCAGCCATCAGTGAAGGCCGGGCCTCGCCACGCACGGAGATCCTGCACAACATTGACCCACTCTACAACCATGCCCGGCATGGATCCCTGGAGGGCGGCTTTGGCATCTGGAACACTGCTGTGCAGGCTGCCATCCGTGTTGGCGAGTGGAAGCTGCTGACAGGAGACCCTGGCTATGGAGACTGGATCCCACCACAGACTCTGGCTGCCTTCCCTGGCAGCTGGTGGAACCTGGAGCGAATGGCCAGTGTCCGCCAGGCTGTATGGCTCTTCAACATCAGTGCTGACCCTTATGAACGGGAGGATCTGGCTGGCCAGAGGCCTGATGTGGTCCGTACCCTGCTAGCCCGCCTGGCTGACTATAACCGCACAGCCATCCCCGTGCGCTACCCAGCTGAGAATCCCCGGGCCCATCCTGACTTTAATGGGGGTGCTTGGGGGCCCTGGGCCAGTGACGAGGAAGAAGGGGAAGAGGAAGAAGAAGAAGGCAGGGCTCGAAGCTTTTCCCGGGGTCGCCGCAAGAAAAAATGCAAGATTTGCAAGCTTCGATCCTTTTTCCGTAAACTCAACACTAGGCTGATGTCCCACCGGATCTGATGTGGGGGGAGGGAATCTCTGTCCCCTACATGTTTTTCCCCACTGAAGCCCTGCCGCTTCTCAGGGAGAAGCCTGAGGTCCAGCCTCCATCTGCAGGAACATGAGGGCACAGAGCCCCTCAGTTGCACAGGGTGGGAATAGACAAGACTGGGAGGCCTGGGCCTCGGTCCTGCCTCTTCACTGACTTCCTCTATGACCTCAGGTGACCTGCATGAGCTTCAGCCTCAGTTTCCTCATCTGTAAAATGAGCTCCAATGACTTGATAACTCTGGTGTGCACTTATTACCTGGGGCATTGGGTCTTCGCCAGCCTTGCCATTTACAACTCATTTAAGGCCTCACCCTTAACTCTGGATCTCTGTGGTGCTGTATGGGTGAGGGGACCACATGTAGATAACTCCAGGCCTGGAGTGAACCAGTCTGGTTGCTCTAGGAAGGGATCCTCCGAGTGGTGAGGGTAGAGGTGCAGGGGTGGGGCTCACTTTTCTGGCTCAGGGTTAGACTGGGGCAGTGGCGCTAAGGTTTTCTCCCTTCTGCCCCCAGCACCCCAAGCAATCGGCTTGGCCCTTAGTTGCTGCAGTATCAAGGGTGGTAGAAACTGCTGTGAAAAGGGCCCCGATGCAATACTCAGGACACCTGGGTTCTCCTTTGAGCTTGGGCATAGTCCTTCCCCTCTGGGCCTTGATTTTCCCACCTGCATATGAGGCTGCTAGCCCTGGCTCTGCTTCCCACACAGGGCTGTGGAAAACTGGCCAAGGCAGTGGCTCCTGCCTGTGAACTTGATTAAAGTGCCATAATACGGAAGTGAGGGTTGCAGCGCTGTTTGTGAGCGTGTGTGGGTGTGTGCATGTGTGTCCTGGGGGCGGGTGTGAGCCCATGGTTGTTGAGTGGACAGGAGAGGAGGTGGACAGCCTGGGCAGGAGGCAGAACACGTGGAACTCCTGTAGCAGACCCACTGTGTGACTCCAGACAAATCCCTGAGTCTCTCTGCGCCTCCATGTCCACCTGTGCACAGTGGATGTTCCGAGAGCCCTTCCCATCTGGCCTCTCTGTGTGCCCCTGCGTGTGTGGTGGGGCATGGCCGAGCGATGGGGTGGAGGGGCACGGGGTTGCAGAGTGTGCATCCCTCTGCACACTGCGTTCTGCATGTCTCCCTTCAGGTTCCAGTCGGCGCAGTGTGTGTAGGCGAAAGCCCTGCTGTGAATTTTGAAAATAGTTATTTTTGTCTCTGGCAAAGGAGCCCTGTTAGGACTCGTCAGCTTGTGGATGAGCAGGATGGGTGGGGTGGGGTGGGTGGGGAGTTTGGGCATTGGCTACAGAGCTTCATCCCCATTGCAGAGGGGGTTGAGTCCAGCAATGGGGGTCTAGCCTGGGGCTGCTGGGTGAAGGTGACCATCCATATCCCAGTCCTCCCTACCTGCTGTTTCTACCTCATATCCCATCCCCTGCTGGCCCCTTCTCCTGCCTCCATGATGCTGGTGACTGACTGTGGTGGGCAGGGGCCAGGACTAGCAGAAGCCTCTGGATTCAAGTAACCTTCAGCACCTGTGCCTGTCAGGAGGGTAGCTCTGAAGAAGTTACCATTAGGGGCAAGTTGTCCATAGCCTGCCCATTACTTGGGATACTCCAGCCCTGCTGGGTGCTTGTCCCAGCTGTGTGGGCTGGGCCTTTCCAATGTGGCATGGAGCCAGGCTTCCCTAGGGATGCAGGCTCACACACGTCATGTGGAGGCTTTTCCTGTGCCTGCTGAGTCAGCCCTGCCGAGCCCCACCATCAGCTCCAGCCCTTGTTTCTCTGCCTGGGGCCCCTGCCCTTTGTGGCCAAAAGTTCAGGACCATAGATGGCTCTTTCTGCTGACCCCTAGGCCCCAAGCCCTACTCCCCATAATCAACCTGGACCCAAACCAAGAGAGACCAGCTAGGGAGGGGACTGGCACTGCTCTTGGTGCTCTGAGAAGGAGACTTGGCCTAGGTCTTGGTCCAGTCTCATTTCCAGCCCAGAGTTTGCCTAGCTCAGAGTCCTGCCCCACTCAGTACCCAGTAAACAGCCCAGGAACCCCTGCAAGCTTCAGCCTGCAACCTAGTCCAGTGGGAGCTGGCAGCTGGCCTGGGCTTGAGATTGGCAGAGTAACCGAGGCACTGCTATGAGAGGATTAGCACTCATTGGCTTCTGTTCTTCCCAGCAATCGGCATGGCTCTCACCTGCCCACCTCCTGTCTCCTATGACTTGGGTTCCCTCCAGCCATGGCACCCCGGTGTGGACTTTTTGGCAGGCCACTGACTGGCACTGCTGGGTAGGTACTTATGCCACTTGAGACCCTGTGGTAAGGAGAGGACAAGGAGGGCAGACCAGAGGCAGTCCTGGCCCCTTGGGGCATAAGTCTGGAGAGCTGGAGCCCAGAGATGCCTGTTGAGGACCCCTTAGCTGGACCAGATAGAGGCAGGTCTGCCAACTATAGAGGGAAGAGCCAAGGGCATCCTGTCCAAGCTGGGCTGTGCCTAGGGAGTCCCGGGCTCTGAAGGTCTTCTCCCAAGGGCCAGGAGAGAGCCTTGGCTCAAGAGGCAGAGCTCTGGGCCCCCTCTTTCTCAGGAGGAAGTGGACCTATTGCAAATTTCCTGGGACTCAAACTTGTGTCCTCTAACTGTAGGTTGTGCTATGCAGCCCATGGCCCAGCAGCCCTTGTTCTGTGTCCCATGGCTATCTGCTGCACTCTCCCCTGCAAGGCATGCCTCCTGTGGGACACCTTAGGGCAATGCTGCTCCTGCCCTGACTTCAGTTCGTCTGTAACAGGCCTGGCCTTACTGCAAGGAATTAACCCACTCACGCTCCACCCAGCCCCTCTGTAGGATCGTCTTTCTCTTGGCCCACTTTCTACTTGTTCTGCCCCCCACACTCACTGCCCTTAGTGGAACAGGTCCCATGGGGACCCTTTGGCTGGCACGCTTCTCTGGTGCCTGCCCAGGGCCTACAAGACCCTGAGGAAATTGGGCGTGTGCATGCGAGCACGTGTGTGGGCTGCAGAAGGGTGGATTTGAGTCAGCCGTCACAATGCCATTGGGGCTGCAATCACCCACCAGGAACCTGGCCCTGGTCTCCTTTTGTCCTTCCTGTCTCTATGGGGTGCTACCTATGCTCATGTACTGAGCCCTATTCTGGCATGTCAGGGCCATGTTCAGCAACCTCCAGAGCTCGTATCCCTGGCCACCAGCCCACAGCACCACACGCATGTTGCAGATGGGGACACACGTGCTGGCTCTCATGCCTGCCATGGCCCTGGGGAGTGGGGAGTTTGGCAGGAACAATCCCCCTGATGCAATCATCGGCTCATTCTCTCAGCACCACAGAGGCACGGCTGGCTCCTCTCTGCCCGCCACCACCGCGTACAGCTGCCAGCCTTTCGGGCACAGGGGAGGCAGTGAATTAGCAGTTGTGCCTTCTCAGCAGAGTGGCAGTTTTATACTCAGGATGGGGGTGCCCATGTGAGGCAGTGCCCACACCCCTAAGCTAGGCTCTGGAAGGTTCAGAGGGGCGTGGAAACGTGTGAGAGACACTTGCTAAGGAGATCTCTCTCCCTTCTCCTCTTCCTCCCCACCTCTCTTGCCATCTCTCTACCATCAGAGTACTACAGCCTAGGACCTGCCCATCCCCTAGTCCCACAAGCACGGTCTGAGTCACCAGGGAGAGAGAGAAGAGTGACAGAGGGGAGAGGGATAGGAACAAGAAGGAAAGTAACAAAGAATGGGAAAGGTAAGAACTGAGAAGGAAGGATGCAAGAAGGGAAGGCTACAGGAAAGAGAACGAGAGAGAAGAAAGGAGGGTTGAAAGGAGAGATGGTAGTGGGAAAGAACAGACAGGTGATGGGAGTGGAGGGAGGCTGGGTTGGCCCTGCCCCTGCAGCCACATAAGCCACTGACCCTGGTCCCTACCAGGGACAGGGAGAGAAACTAGCAGTGAGGCCAGCACCAAGTCAAGCAGGGTACCCCCGCCTTTGTTCAGAATGTTAGGTTTCCATTAATACAGCCTCACAGCACATTTGCTTTTTGTCTCACTGTTTAATTTTTTTTTTTTTTTTTGGTTGGGGCTGGGTTCGAACCCACTACCTCCGGCATATGGGGCCAGCGCCCTACCCTTTTGAGCCACAGGCTCCACCCTCTCACTGTTTAATTTTTAAAGCCATGTTATCATGCTGTTGGCATGTGATGAACTGGATGTCCTTGTGACCTCTCCTTCTAGCCCCAGTCCTTTGTGCTACAGAAATTGCTGTAAACTAGTCTGAACAAAGTGATGTCCAAATCATGAGCTAAAATCCAGAGGGGATGCAGAGAGCTGTGCCCCAAAGCGTAGGGACTTGAAGATGGT